GTGATGGGGTATTGAAATCAGAGAATCATAGACTTGGGGGCTGATAGGGACCTTATAGATTATCCAGTCCTACATTTTCTAGATGAAGAAATCCAGATTCTGATAAATGAAATGATTTGACTAGAGCCAAACTGGGCTCAGGACTTCTCTGACTCCCAGTCCAGTGCTCATCTCACTAGTTCTCAGGCACATTGTTGACCTTGACTGGCTCCTCCAGGTTTCAGGGCACTTGGGAAGGAGGAAGGGTGATATTTGGGGCTTGGTAAATGATTGCCTAGGAAAGTATGTTTTGCAAGGCCACTCAAGAAATCAGTGAGGAATTGGGACAGATTCCAGTAGTTCTTGTCATATTGCTTTCTTCATTCCCCCCCCCACCCCACTCGGGGACTTGGCAGAGGGGACTGGCACCAGGGTTTGCATTCACCAAGTGTCAGGGTATATGACACAGGTATATTCCCACCCTTCCCCATCCTTTTGGAGTCTTTGAAGCAAGCCAACAGCTGAATGGCTTGGTGAAATGACTTTTGTCATTGCCATGCTTTCTTCTGGGTGACCCGGTCAACTGGCGTGGAGAGCCTTTGATTGTCTTTACCTGTAAGGGTCAGAATATCAGCCAACTACCCAGCAGGAAGTATAAGGAGGAAATCCATTCACAAGTCAGGCCTAGGCATTCCCCAGCACTGACAATGACTTACCTTAGCTAGCAACTTGTTCTGGGCAGGAAGGCCCCCAGTGTAAATAGCAGGTGTTGCTGGTTCTAGAGAAAGAAACGGGAGAACCCTAACACGGTTCTTTGGGTGGAGGAAGGGATGAAGTGTCCTAATTCATATTTTTCATCCATGCAGTAGTTTCATCCACATTCATGGTTTTTACCACCATGTGGGCCCTGGTGGCCCCCTAAGTCCTGACCTCTCCACTGTGGGAGTTCCACAGGTCCTACCCTGATAAGCATGATCAATTTAACCAATACAGACAGAGAACTTCCCTTGTTCCGAGAACTATGCTAGGTTCCACAGCCCACACATAAATAAGATGTAATCCCTGTCTGCAAGGAACTACAGACAAACTTAAGCCTCACAAGTTTACTAGAAGGTGGTTAGTGATAAACACCTGGGATGCAGGCAGGCTTCATAGAGGACACTCAAACCAAGGAGGTAGCCAGCAAAGAAAGCCACAAACCTCCCAGGCAAGGGAATCACATGAACAAAGGTGTGGAATCTGGGTGTGGGGGAAACCACAGGCAGTAGCTGGGTGTTACTAGAGCACAACGAGGGAGATGGGAAGTGTGGGGAGAGAAGGTGGGGTGGAGAGATGTGGAGGGTGAGGTGGGGGAGGTAAGTTATGGGAAAGAGCAGTCTTTTTTTTCTGAGCAGAGAAGAGGGAAGTGCCTGGGAGATTTGTATTTTAGATAGATCACTCTGTGTGGATTGGGGAGGAGCCGCCAGGATTGCCGGCCGGGAACCAACTAGAAGAGATGATGAGTTCCCCATGCAGGGTATTCACAATGAAAGGGGACGGGGACTGGAAAAATAGTCAAGAGCTGAGTGATGACAGACAGGGGGTGGGTGAAGGGGTTCACAGGTTTTTGACTTGGTCCCTGGGTGGATAATGGGGCCGTGAACTGAGGTAAGAAATACAAGGAAGGGAAACAAGTCTGGAAAAGAAATGTTGATGACGGCTAATGTTTATTAATCATTTCTATGGACCAGCCATCATGCCAAGAGTTTTTAAGGCATTTTCTCATAACTATGAAATAGGTATTATTCTTGATTTATACACGAGGAAAATGAAATTTTGAGATGACGAATAGCTTGACCAGTTCTGCACAGCTGGTAGAGTGGTGGAAAGAGGTTCAAACCCAGGCATTCTGGCCCCAGGGCCAATGGTCCTAATGACTAGGCTTTATATGTATGTATGTGAAGAGTCTAAGGAGTCTGTGGGACACCCACAGTAAAGAGGGCTAAGAATTAGGGGGGCCATCAGGACTCAGATTATGGTAAAAAACCATGAATGTGGATGAAACTACTTAAGTTGAACAGTGACCAAAGCACAGTGCCCTGGGGAACTCTTAGTTTAAAGAAGGAGGGGGAGGGTAAGGAGCCTGCAGAGAAGACAAGAACGAAAGTTCACTCTGATTTTTATTTATTTATTTTTTAAGATTTTTTATTTATTTATTTGACAGAGAGAGAGAGAGAGAGAGAGAGCAGGAACACAAGCAGGGGGAGTGGGAGGGGGAGAAGCAGGCTTCCCGCGGAGCAGGGAGCCCGATGCGGGGCTCGATCCCAGGACCCTGGGATCATGACCTGAACCGAAGGCAGCCGCTTAACCGACTGAGCCACCCAGGTGCCCCTCACTCTGATTTTTAAATCTGAAGACATGGTTCTGCCATCTGGGCAACAGATAACTGGGCAATCACGGGTGTGTAGTGGCATCAAATAAAAAGGTCTGCCAAGTTAAGCTGACATATTAATGACAACAGTTATTACGTTGCACAGTGATTACCCTAAACAGTAAGCATTTCACATAAATAGCCGTAATTACTATAGCACGTTTCCCTAACTGTGTCCTGTGGAATGGTAGTTCCTGGAGAGGTTAATAAATGTTTGGATCAAAAAGGGCTTCAGAATCAGGTAAGTTTACAAAATGCTGGTATAATTCAGGTAGAGAGCCAACCCCCCGGTTTACACTTTTTTCTTTTCTCTGTTAGGAGGTGGGATAGAGGAATGGCTAAGAGTATAGGTCCAGGGAACAGAGAGCCTGGGGCTGACACCTGCATTGACAAAAGCAGGGTAATCCTGGGCAAGTTACGGAACTTCTCTAAGGCAGTTTCCACATCTGTACCAGAAGATAGTAATACCTATTCACTGCGATTGTTCTAGATTTAAATGCAACAATACATTGAAAACAATTAGACTAGAGCCTGGCACAGTATTAATTATTATCTATAAACCATACTATTATTAGCAAGTCTTCCTGACATCCCAGAGCCTTAAGTCTTTCTCACACATATTTCACACACACGCGGACACCCACATTTCTTAAAAGTCAAAGCCTTTGTTCTGATGCCTATGAGTTGAAGTTCTCTGTGCCCTTACCTCCACCCCACCATCTCCCAGGACTGGGAATGACCAAACACTTGCTACTCTAGGCAATGGTGCCAGGGAGAGGGAGGATCTTTATGCCAGCAGTATGGCCTTGGAAGGACCACCACTAGTTCAGTCACCTTTATGCACAGTTGAAAAAAAGTATGCATCTTTTGGGTGAACACTGGCCTGTACCAGGGCACACAGCTTAGCAAGTGAAGTGCAGGCTATATTTTAGCTGCCACTTGCTCTTTAGGCTGAATGTCATTGTGTAGTGAACAACCTGCACAATCATACATGGCAGTTCTGACCTTCAGGCCATAGAATGGGCTGGAAGCTAATGACCACTGGAGAAAGAGGGTACAAGTTCTCTTCCCAGTAGTCCATGATGCCAGCTCTCCACAAGCCTTAAGGTGATCAAGTATCCTTCATCTCCTCCCTCTCACCCAGATGTGCCCCGCCCCCCATTCATTCACACAGAGGCTGACATCAGAATACCCCGGGCGTGAGGGGATACATCAAGGCTTGTCTGTTTCTCTGGAAGGCCAACTGAGGCTGGGAGATGACAGAGCTGTGGAAAGCAGAAGTGGGAGGGCATGATTGTCCAGGTTTCCCCTGACACATAATGAATATTAAATTATAATGCTGCACACCAGAGCAGACCACGGCCAGAGCAAGTCCGACTTCCTGACCAAAGTTTGGGGCAATGAGGGGAAAATGATGGGAAGGGGAGCTTCTTAATCCTCACTGTGTGGCCCAAATGCGTGGCTCCCTATAAAGATTCTCACCACCCCTTTAGGTAGACACTTCCTTTGTGAAACAGAGGGGAAGATAAAGGCAGACTTATCCTGTTCTCTGGAGGTGGGTGGGGTAGAGTGGAGGGCAGGCCCTCTCCCCAAGTTCACAGGCATTTACACACACTCCCACAGAGCCTCTTCAGCCACCAGAGGGGCCACTGCCTAGAAGCACCACTTTTCAGCCTAGAAGCCCAGACCAGGCCTGACCTGCGGTGATCTGGGGAGGGCTCTGCCCCCTCTGTGCTTTGGTTCTCTCCTCTGTAAGGTGAGGAATATGGATGGGCTGAATTTTAAGTTTCCTCACAGCTCTGCCAGACTACAGTTCGCTCTTCTTGGGGGTTCTAGGCACTCCCCGACAGGTCCTGACCAACCAGAAATGGCTTACTCTCACCTCTACTCCAGGAACCTGCGTGCCAAAGACCAACCTCCCTTCTCACAACTGTGCTTAGGGTCTGCCTCCATATTGCTCTTGATGATAAACAGCAGCTGGGGCTCCAGCTGGGAGTTGAGGTCCTGTGGCCTTGAGACTCGGGAACAAAGGCTGAGCTGCTGTGGGGAAGGGACTTTTCCTGAATATAAGGGGAGGGGAGCCCTGGGGCTGTTTATGCCTTTACCTCTCCATAGAGCTGGCTGTTCCTCTCCTTCCAACAGATCTGGGGGTAGGGAAGGGGTGTCCTGTCTTTTCCTCTGAGGCTGATGACTTCACCTCCTTTCCCTTCCTCTTCCTCAGGTTAGGATCTCTACCTTCCCCATCTACTCCCAGGGTCTGAAATCTCCATCCCTCTCTCTCCCTTTATTCTTCTTGGCATTGGGGTCTTTACACCCCTCCCTCTCTCTAGGCCTCGCCTCCTTATTCCTTTTTAGGCCTGCCTCCTAGCCCTGGGTGGAGGGGTCTGCATTCTCCTTTCTCTTAAGGCCCCATCTCCCTCCCCCCACCCTTTCCCGCTCCCCCTCCCTCCGCCCCGAGGCATTGTGGGAGGAAACAAGATGTGGGGCGAGAGCGGCGCGGGGAGAAGCCCGCAGTGCGGGGCCGGGCGGGCGCAGCCAATGGGGAGCGCGGACGGCGGCGCGCGCGGCGGGGGGGCGGGGGCGGGGCGCTATTTCAGGGGGGGCCGCGCGTCGGCCGTGCTCAGCGGCAGAGCGGAGCGGAGCAGCGAGGCGCCAGCGAGGAGCAGGCGGGCTGGCCGGCGGGCGCGAGGCGGAGCGCGGGCGGCCGGGGAAGCTCGAAAGGCGGACGGCGGCGGCGAGCGATCGGCCCGGGGCCGCGGGAGCCGGAGACCGCGGCGGCGGCTGCTGCTGCTGCTGCTGCTGCAGGAGGAGCCGAGGGGACACCGCCCCTGCCCGCGCCCTGCCTCAGGCCATCGCTGCTGCTCCCCCGGGGCCCCGCGCGGACTAGCCTCCGTGAAGGTGAGCGGTCGGTGGAGGCGTCCCCCGGGCGGCGGCCCGCGCCGGTCGCGTGCAGCCCCACGCGCGGGGCCCAGCTCCGAGGCCCGGAGCAGAGCTGGCCTCGGCGTGACGCCCTCGGCGCCCCTCCTTCCCAGGGCTGCGCCACCCTGTGCCCTCGCGACCCTCGGGCGCGGCCGGAGGGCCCGGGCTGCGGAGGCGCGGCTCCCCGCCTCCTCCCCGCGCCCCCCCCCCCCGCCCTCCCGGGAGTCTCCCTGCGCTGCGTGGAGGCCTCTGGTGTTCGGGGCCGAGGGAGAGGGGGTGGAGAGGGCTCGGGCGTGACGCGGCGCCTCCTGCCGCCGCCACCCTCTGGGGCGTCCTTCCTGCAGCGAGGACGCCCAGTCACTCCGGCGCTGCTCCAGGCCGGGCGGGGGAGGGCGGCTGACCCACCGGGGCGGAGGTTGGGGGGAGGATGCTTTCTCATGCCCGAGGTGCTGGCCTTTGGGGGCCGCAGCTCTCCGGAGGATGGCATGGTGGAGGGATGAGCCCCCTTGGAGATCTCAGGGGAGGAAATACCAGCATTTGTGTGTGTTGGGGGCTGGGGAGGGTGGTCCAGGTCTTTCGGAGACTTGGCCTTTCCTGTCGCAAAACCGGGGATAGGGGATGGGGAGCTGTCCTGGAGTGCCCTCTTCGCTTTTTCAAAGAGCTCCTGGCTTTTAACTGAGGAGCTGGCCTGGGGCCTTCTGGTCACCTTTTGTCGGAGGCCCAGGTTCCTTGCTTTTTTGTCCCAGGAGGGAGGTGGGTAGGCCAGGCACCTCCTTATCCTTTTCTCACTGGCACCTTGGACAGGGCAGGTTGGGGCTAGGCCTCAGCCCTCAGACGCCTGGGGGCCCAGGGGTGAAGAATCGTAGCATTGTAGTCACAAGACCGACGTTATGTAACCGCAGGCTCTCTGCTACTAGAGAGTAAGGTGGCTTTTAATTACTGTGACAAAGTTGTTCCTTTGGACTTTGGGGATGAGGCGGTGGAGCAGGTGAGCTTGCTGGGAAAACCGGTGCCAATTTCATGCTTTAACTTCACAGTCTCTAACCAGGCCCCACCCCCACCCTTGCGTTTGTAAACAGTGCCCCCTTCTGAGTGGTAACCTGGAATAGGCCACCAGGTGACACTAGTTTTCTTCAAATATAAAGAGCCTTATAATAATCAGAACATTCTTCCTCTTCTGCTGTTGTATATCTTTTCAAACTCATTGAAGTTTCCCCATTTATCTTATTTCAACTATCCGTTTTTATAAAATGAATGTTGCTTTGCCCAAGGTCATGTAGGTAGCCAGTCAGGCCTTGAACAGGGTTCTCCTGACCTTTTCCTCAGCACCTGGTGGTGCTCACATACTCTTTGAAGCTCTGACTTTTCCTCGTAGGGGTGTGGGGTCAGATTTTGCTGGTCCGCTAGCCCTTTCCTCTGACAGTCTCTGCTGAAGTAGAACCAGCCCTGTTTAGTTTGAAGTGCCTTAGGTGCGGTCAGGGGCTGTGTGGCTGGCAGCTGGCATGTATGCTTCCTTTGCATCTGGTGCAGGCTAAAGGAGTAATCGTGAGTTTTGCTTCCCTTTCAGTCCACCCAGTACACAGGCTAGTGTGGACACAGAGATCAGCGTGGCCTGGAATGATACCAGGGATCTCTTCTTGAGCAGGCAGGCCTCCTGTGTAGCCTTAATATCAGACAGGGCTGGAATGACGACATCTTTTGTCTACTGGGCTGGGTGACAGAGTCCTCTTTTTGGGGGGGGTATGGGGGATCAGTGTGATGGGAATGTGGTCAAGGACAGAGGATTGGTTTTTGCAGCTCATCTCTTCTGTTCACGCAAAACACTCACATGCTATAGACTGCCAGGCAGGTTCTGACCAGCCTTCTTGGGATTCCTGTCATCCCAGGAACGGACCATGCAAGGTCTACCCCAGAATTCTGGTTGCTGTAGAATGTGAATGCCAAGGCTTAGATAGCAGGGATATGAAACGGGGCTGTTAAAATAATTCCTCACCTTTTGTTATCTCTGTCAGTGCTGGGCCTTGACAACCTTTTTCTGTGAAAGGCCAAATAGTAAATATTTTAGGCTTTACAGGCCTTGCATTGTCTTGCAACTACTCAACTCTGCCATTGTTGACTGTTCTGTAAAACTTTACAGAAACAGGTGGTGGGCTGAATCAGGCCAACAGACCTCAGTGTAGATTGTCCTTGTTTGCAGATGTTCTCATATAACCTTAATCCTTACAACAACCCCTGATAGAGAGCTATCTTCGTTGCTAAAATGGAAGTAATGAATGCAGTAAGACTGAGTGACTTGTCCAAGACTACAAGAGTTCATAGTCAGGACCAGAAGTCAGGCCTACTGATTCTAGTCCATCTTCTTTCCACTGTGTTACCAGTGATGCAATAATGGTCATTAAATCAAGAGCTTATTGTGTTCAGGTGTTAAGGCCACCTGGTTTGCCCTCAGTAACCCTGTAGTCTCCATTTCAAGGTGATGGTATGAAAGCACAAAGGGTAACTTGCCCAAGGACACAGTTAATAGGTGATAATATTGTAATATTTTGGCAATTGGTGCTATTTAAAATATCAGAGATAAATTTAGAGTTGGGAAAACCTTATTTTACAAATGATAAAAGTTGATGGCTTATTGTCTTTTTTTCCTATCTACCTTGTATTTCTCAGGTTTGGGGACCAGGTCTTTGCTAAAAGCTTAGGACCTCCCTCTTCTAATAATGCCTCATGTCTGTGTTTTCTGTTGTCATCACCTTCTGTACTCTGTTCTCCCACTGAGGCTCCACACTCAGCTGCTAATGTTCGTTGCATAGCGTATGGGGTTGTCAGTTTGACCGCTCTGCTTCTTCTGCAGTGTCACGATGTCTGACCGGAAGGCAGTGATCAAGAACGCAGACATGTCTGAGGACATGCAACAGGATGCTGTCGACTGCGCCACGCAGGCTATGGAGAAGTACAACATAGAGAAGGACATTGCTGCCTATATCAAGAAGGTGCGCCAAGAATGCTGTGGCTTTAGGCTAGGGGTAGGAATGGGCATCTGAGCTGTGCCCCGGGGAGATCTGAACTGAGGGCTTAGGAAAGCAGGTATAGTCCATGCAAACAAAACCCACGAGCTTGCAAAGCAGACGAATTAGGGAGTGATTCTTGCCAAAGCATTCACCTTAGGAGTTCTTAATAGGAACTCTGCTGAGGTGTGCTTATGTGTGTGTCTGTGTGTGTGTGTGTGTTTATAGATAATTATGTGACTGCAAGGCATTGGGGAGAGAAGCTTAGTATCAAATGTAACTGGCTCAATTCAGAGCTGTTCAAAATGTAGATCAAGGATAATTGAACAGATAATATAAGATCATATACAAGTTTTTCAAGGAACTGCATCATTTAAAGTGGGGTATCCCTATAATAATCCCTATCATATAGGAAGTTTTCTTTCTCTTGAAAAGGACTCAGGTACTATATCATCTCTTTCTCCCCACCTTCTTAAGGGTGGGCTTGAATATATAATTTGCTAAAAATGGATGAGCAATATTGGGGTAATAGGTTTAGTCCCTGAAAAATTCCTGAGCGAATGGATGAATGAATATGGTTAACACAGGAAGCCGCTGAGCTAGAAGTGAGAAGTAGTACCAGGGCCTCTGATTCCCAGTCAGAATCCATGTCTGCTAGTGTCATAATCCTAGTCTTTGATGTTTTCAGCCCTAGTATCCCAAAAGGGATGCCTAAGTGTAGTGGTTTTCTGGTCCACAGAGGTGGTAGGGCATCCTTAAATTTTACAGATCTGCTTTCCTACTTAGGCAGGGTGGGATGAGAAGAGGAAACTCGAGTCCTGAGAGACTATCTGTATAAGGAGCCAGTGGGTGAAGAGCCAGCTGGGGGTGCTGGCTCCTTGCTGAGTGATGCCTTACCTGTCCTGTACAGGGAGGAGGATCCAGAATCATGGACTCTGAGTCAGGAGAATCCTTAGATTATATCTGGCCTAGCTTCTTTGTTTTGCTGATGGGGAAAATGAGAACCAGGGCAGTGACCAGGGCTGTCCTATGTTTCAGAGTCTTGAGAGTCAGCATTAGGGCTGGATTTCGTGACCCATCCCCTTCCCACTGTTCCCTAATACCTCTTGGAGTCCCTTGGTGTAGGGGGCAGTGAGGAGGCCAAACAAGTTGTAAGTTAAGAACCTGGGGGACAGTCCCAGGGTTGGCAGCTTTGCTGGGTCCATGGTGGAGGTCTCTTGCATGGCGGGGTGCATCTACTGAGCCATCTGTTTCCTGCTGGATCTATGGAGTGACCGGGAACTGCCTGTCTGATTAGGTCATAAGGATTTCCTAGGTTGCTTTGATGCTGAAATTGTGCCCCTGAGAGAAGTGAGGGAATTGCCTTGATCTCATGGCCGATGTCCTTGTTCTGCTGTTTATAGCCCACACAGTACCTGGCACACAAGAGTGCCTTTAACGTTGACTTACAAAGAACCGCTTCCTGGTACTCCTGATGTTTGGCTCTAGGGTCTTGGTTCGTGGCATTTGGAAATGCTGGTTTAGTAATGTAGGAGGCAGCAGGTGGCAAGTCGGGGAGGCTCTCCTCTGTTTTCCTCATGCTGTGTGACACTGGAGTGGTCTCTTATGCCCTGGGCTTTCCTGACTCCTTTGCTAAAGAATCACAGGGTGGACTACGGAGTAGGGTAGCTAGGAGGAGGAGGAGAGATAATCGGGGTGTAAAGTGCTAGAGAGAAATAATGGAGCCTTTGCGGTGTTCCATTATTAATGAAGGAAGGAGTTGTCCTAGCCAGCCTTAACCTGAGCTCCTGAGGTTTGGGGAGCTGAGGCTGTGAGCTAGGGGTGGGGTGGGGGGGGGTGATAACTAAATTAATCAGATTCCTATTCTGATTTCTCATCTTCCAATTGTCCTAATCACCTTTTCTTCTCTCTCTTTTATTCTTTTTTTAGGAATTTGACAAGAAATATAACCCTACCTGGCATTGTATCGTGGGCCGAAATTTTGGCAGCTATGTTACACACGAGACAAAGCACTTCATCTATTTTTACTTGGGTCAAGTTGCAATCCTCCTGTTCAAGTCCGGCTAGGAGGCCGCAGTGGAGGTGTCCGTGGCGGCGGCAGCGATGGCAGGCAGGCGGCGTTGCTGGGACTGTTTTGCACCGGGGCCAGCATCAGGATGTCCTCTCCAATGGCTGTGCTACTGCATGGACTGTATACTCGATTTCATGTGTATGTCGCAGTAAACAAAACCAAACTTCTTTCTGTTTAGTTGCCTGGGGAAGAAGGCTGCTTTATGTTTATTTTTCAAGACTTCAGAATCTTTTCTTTGGTTGTATTGCACTAGGAAATCTCTCCCACCCCTCCCTCTTCTCTTTCTCTCCCTACGTAAACTAAAAAAAAGCCCTCAACGAAGCCTGTAAGACTAGGAGGGCAGGGGGAGAGCAGTCGGTTTCTGGAGGCAGAACTCAAACTGTGCAGCCACCTCCTGGTGGTGGGTGCTGCTTTGGAAGGGCCAGGGAGGCTGCTGGGGGCAGCATAAGGCTTGGCAAGGAGAGAGGGATAGGAAGGAGGCTAGGGGGATTGATCTCTAGTACCAGGGAGAATATTCCACTGAACTGTGATTCCACGACTTGGGGCAGAGGGTGGGGTGGGGGTGGATTCTTTTGAGGGGCCCTGAGACGTGTTTGTCTGTGGTGTGTGGGAGTGGGGAGCAGACTTGTCTTGCTGTCTTTGTCAGAAGAGTTTCTAAGTAAGGGCTGTGTCTTTGTGGATTACCTTCTTCTATTCTTCCTGCCAGAGCTCATGCTAGGAGGATGTTGGGGGTAGGATTAGCTTGATTTTTCTTCTATTCATTCTTCTCTCCTTCTGTCTGCTCCCTGCTTAGCCCTTGGTTTTCTCATTCCTCTGGAGTTCTCTTAGAGCAGCCCCTGTTAGTTGGCTGGCAAGGGAATTTCTGGTGACTGTAGTTCCTTAGTTAAGTCTTAGCAATCAAACCAAATCAGTGTCTCCCTTGATTCTCGTGTGTGTGTGTGTGTGTGTGTGTGTGTGTGTGTGTGTGTGTGTGTG